AGCAGTCCAGCTCATCATCGCGTGATCTGCTGGTATCTCTTCCTTAATACATTCTTCCGTTACCGATGGTGATGGGGTTCGGTAGTACTCCTGTTCCCACAAGTCTACTGCATTCATACCCTCTTGTTTTCGCGGTAACTCGTCCAATAATTTCCGGAATTCTTCACTGGTGAAGGTCTCAGTTTCTTCGGTCTTAGCTGGATGTTCCTGGGATACAAAGGTAGCGTTAAGTTGGCCTTTGCCGAACTTGGGTTTGAAGTTGCCTTTCTTTCCTCCTGTCTTCTTACTTCGGCAATCCGCTGCCCGGTGCCCTGCTTTTCCACATTCAAAGCATAAGTTGTTTTCTCGTCTTCGTTTCTTTTCCGGATCATCATTCCCACCTTTGTGGTGCGTAGCGTCGAGTTCCATAGGGTCTCCATATCTCTGTGGATTGTAACGTGGTCTTCCCTCATTCTTGCGGTAACGCTCTTGCTTTTGATTTCCCTGGGGTTTGTATGATCTTTGACTTTGTCGATATCGGTAAAGACGATCATCTGATTCGATGGAGTCCTGGATTAGGTCGTTCAAGTCTACACTCTCGGCAGATCTTTCTAACTCCAGTTTGACTTCTGGCTTGAGTCCTCTACGGTAGTGGCTCATAATGGCGGTTTCATCCCACTTGGTTGTTCCTGCATATCTTCGGAATTCCGTAGCATACTTTAATGCTGATCCTGTTTGCTTGAGGTTGAAGATCTTATCTTCCGCTACCTCTAGCTCGTTGGAATTTCCGAAGATTCTACGAATCTCTGTCTTAAATCCTTCGAAACTGTCGAAGATGGTTCTTGTGGGTTGCATGCGTTCCCTGTCGTCATGCTCGAAATAGTCGCGCAGGTATGGCTGAATCCATTTGCCTGCCTCGCCTCTGAGGTATGACACGGCCCAAATACTCTTAGATTCCTTTTCGGTGAACTTGTCTTGGTTGAATCTAAAATAGATTTCAAGTTGTAATAGGAAGGTGTCGAGTTCCTGTCGACTTCCTTGGTATTTGTCTGGTAAGGCAATCTTGAGTGTTTCGTTGATGGTGATCTCCTTGGGAGCATCAGTCATTTCGACATCATCGAAGTTGCTTGCTGGAGCCTGTTGGCTTCTGGAAGAACTGTTGGCTGCCATACTGGCGGTTGGTATTGAATTGGTACTTGAAGCAGAAATGGTGCTCAAAGTGTTACGGGAGCTGCCTCTAGGGTCACGTGGAAGTGTCTAGAGATCTCTCGAGGTGGTTTAGACTAGACTTCAAGTAGGAATTCAATAAGGTTGTAACTGGTTGCAATTCTCGTAACTATAGTAATGAAACTAATGATTGTTCTTGAGCACGAAGCTCTACATTGTAATGAAACCCATTCCCTTATATAGACCTTCGTTCTCTCTCCTGGTCCCTAGGACCTCTCCTATATGTTGGATCGTTAAGGATCGCAACGCGCTCCAGGAGCGCTGAAGCTCCTTGACGCTCCATCACGTGTAATTTATGTCATGTGACGCGGTATGTTGGATGCCGTCGTAACAAACCAAACAAATTAATTTCAATATTTAGAATATTTAGAATATATTTGCGAATAACCAATCTTAACTTATTAATATTTATAATCTTATAATAACAGATTGTATTTAAGAAAATAATAAATAAAATCAATAAATTACAAATAATAAAATAGATATTAAATATATTGAATTAATATAACAAATCATTTATAATAATATTATACAACCTGCTTACTAACTTAAAGATTTGAATATAAAGAGAACATAAAGATTGAACAGGTTTATACTATTTATTAGGAATAAAAAATAAGATATATATTATACAACTAATAAATAGCTCAACAAAATTTCATATTATTCAAATTATATTATATATAGAAGAAAAGAATCAATCTCAAAATTAACCTTATGAAGAACTTATTAAACTAATATAATCTAAGTAATCTATTAAGGCTATATAAGAAATACAATTAGTATAAATAATATAAAATATATTATAAAAGAAAAGAAGAATAGTTTTATTGAAAACCAATAAAGTTAAATTAATCATTTCATTAACTATTATATAAAGCAGAAACAAAAAGGAAACTTTTTTAAATTTGTTTAAAAACCCTTAGTCCTTATGATTATCAACTTTTAAATTATAATTTCTATATTAACAACCTTCTTTATAAAGAAAAACATTAATTATATTAAATCTAAGAAATAAGTATTAAATCTAATACTTTATCTTTTAGATAATAATGAATTTAATAATATTGAGTATATAAACTATTTTATAATATCGATTAATAATTTAATATTAATAAATTTTATTAAATTAAAATAAAATAAAATTAATAATTTAATGAAAAGCGGTGTTTTTCAATTTGTAAAGATTATAAATATATTTAAAAATATAAGAATATATAACTTATAATTTATTAATGAAATAAAGAATAAAGAAATTAATAAGATATTCTTAAAATCTTAATTAGTAATATAAGTATAAAAGGATTAAGAAAAAGATATTGTTTTAATATAGTTATTTATAATATAATATATTAGCTAATAAATTATACTATTAATAATGATTATACTTTTAAAGAATAAGATAATTACAAGTATTTATAATATTATATAAGTATATATATAATTAATATTAAATTTAATTTAAAAGTTTTATATACAATTATTAACAAAATAAATGTCTAAAAAGGTTTTATTCTATAAGTAGTATAACTATTATATAGCATTCTAAAAGCAAGCAATCATTAGTTTAATACTTATTATAAGTATTATATTAATACTCTTAAAATAGTACAATCAATTTATAATCTATATTTCCTATATATAATTAAGAATGATATAATATTTAATATTATAAGATTATAAACAAATAATATATTTATTATTATTAATAACAAATTTACAAATTGAAAATAAAAAGAATTCTATAATATTAAATTTATAATAAAAAAGTATGAAATATTTATATTAGATATACCATTCAAGTTTAATAATAAATTAATTACTTAATAAAATAATAATATAATTTATTTCAATTAAAAGAATTAATATGAAAATTTATACTTAGTTAAATCAGAATTATCTAATATATAAGGAATATATAAAAAACTAAGAAAATCTATAATAATAAAGAATTAATATATTATATAATATACTTAGAAAGTATATATTATAATAATATATTAATTAAAGGTAGATTTTAACCTATTTTATACTGTATAAATTGTTAATTCTAAAAGAAAAGATATTCATTCTTTTAATAAACATATTTAATAATAAATTGATAATTTAAAGAAAAAACTATAATTTGTTTTATTCAATATAAATTCTTTAAAATTAATTATATTTATTAATATATCCTTTATTAACAATAAAGATTTATCCTTTCAGATTAAATATATTATTGTTTTAATAAATAAGTATAATAAAGCTAATATTATTCATTAATTAATCATTAAGTATAAAAAAGTTATTAAAAGTATATTAATATTAGAACTCTATATTATAGTTTTAAACTTTAATATTAACATAGCAATTAAAGGTATAATTAATAAAACCTTCTTGAACTATAAGATCCTATTATTTATATATATCGATTTCAAATCACTTTACAATTGTTTTACAAAACTCAGAATTACTAATTAAAAGAGATTAATAATTAATATAATAACAATCCAAAAGATATATAAGAAAACAAAAAATTATAAAAATCAAATAGATTAATAAAGATTCTAACCTTATAGATATAATAATTAAATTCAAATTGTATTAAACCCTAAAAAATCTAATTAATAATATTATTATAAAGATTAAGGTTATAAAATAAGTTGAAAAAGATTAGAAGGATAGGTAGTTATATAAACAAAAGAGGTATTAATTAGAAGGATATAATTTAGCGATTTTAAAAAGTTGTTAATATTAGGATAAGGATTATGTGACTATATTAGCAATAATATTAACATCTTTTGATATTATAACAATATATTTTATAGTTTTAGCTTTTAAAAACCTCAAGCAATATAATAATAATATAAACCATAGTATTATATTGACTTCACCATCCCCATGGTGATACCAATAGAATGAAACCATTATCTCAAACTGTGGGATATCGGATTGATCTCATGGAATCCTCTCAACTCTTGGAATCCGGTAAATTTTCGTCAGAACGACTACAAACTTGGAGATCTGAAAATGTCGAAAATGAGTTGCAAGGAAGATTCTTGGAACTAGTTGAAATGATGCTGTAGCTTTACATGCATCAAATTTGTTTTATAAAGATCTGAGACGTTATACGTATTTGATCTAGATACAATTCACGTGCTCGAATTTTATGCACCTACAAATCTTCAATCCTTTCTTGACTTATATAAACAAGGGTTAAAGGAATAGATATGCGATACGTACGACTTGATGAAGTTGCGGTTGGACGAGAGATCCATGTCACTTCGCTAACCCCCGCACTCAATTTCCTCAGTGTAATCTAGCGATTACATCCTACTCTTGAACTTCAATCTTCATGTATTATTAACTGAAGACCCCTAATAAATCCGATTTTTGTTCCACTTATGGTAGAATGTTAAACAAATTTGTCCTTATAAATCGCGATCCGCCAAGGTGTCTCTTGGGGTGCACCCCACATTAGAAGCACGTCATTGACAACGGCAAATTCGACATGCCAATGTACTCGACCCTCCGATTGGCAAATGGTCTTTTTTGTTCGGCATTGTGACTTATTTCAAAAAGTTTGACCCGGAGCCCGAACTTATTCACTATATTTGCCGATCTCTGGATAAGTGGTCAATATCTTCAGAAAGTGACATTCTGTTTAAATTAGTAAATAAAACTACAAATGCTTGAACCATGGAAAATTACATAAAGCAGAGGCTGACCAGTATTGGTTGTCATTTAGTACTCAACAACTCTCTTCCAATATCCTTCCAAACGACTCATTTGAGCTTTCAACTACCCTCAAAATGCGTACCTCACTCACTTCCCTTATCACTCTATTTCTAATTACACTTGCTGAAGCATCCGTTACTTGCGTCAAGGTTGGGGTGGCAGCCAAAGCCACATGGACCAATTCAGCTGGGCAGACTTGTACGTGGACTGGAACAGTTGGAAGCAACTTTGGAACCAACACAGTCAACGCTGGAGAGTAAGTGTTTTTGTCCCCAAAACTGTTCATATAAAGCATGCTGACTATCCTGAAAAGGTACAGCTGCAATGGAAGATGTGGAGCAGGTTGCACCGGAAGTGCCCTTGGCAATTACTAGTAAGTTGAAAGCTGAATTCAACGTAGTACTTTTGAGTGACTTGTCATTGCTAACGAGAAAAACTTGTAGCACACAAGACTGCTGGAACCATGATATATGCTCTTACTTCAATAATGCCTCAGGTGGTGCAAGGTATGATCTATCATGTATTCTTATGCTTTATCAACAACTTACTAAACGATACACAGTGACGCTAATTGTGGTTCGGCATATACTGCGGCCGAAGATGACTATCTTCTTGGCGGAGTTGATGGATGTAGTCAAACAAACCCCAGCAACTCTGCTGTTGTACCTACTACGAAACCTGTCTGTGCTTGATGAGCACATCATGTAAACTGTACAAGATGAACTTGGAAAGGGGTGATGGTTCGCTACGAAAAAGGTAATGAATTCAAATTTGGTATCATGTCAATAAATCCATTATTCTCCAACAGGTTGCTCGGCCTTTATACAAATTCCGCAGCCTCGTGATTCCATCACACTTCACAATACAAGGGCCTGACACCCGAACGGGGTGCGATTCAGCTCCTTTTGAATAATATATAAATGAACCTTTGAAGAATCATCGAATAAGAGGAAGTCATAATCTCCTTCCCCTTATTATGGCTTTGGCTCTTCCTTTTGCCCACCCCCAAACATTCCTCCAACATATCCACCTGCACTCTTCGCACCGCTTGCTAAGCCAGAGCCAGCACTCTGTGCGCCACCCAAAATTCCCTGTCCAGCACCCTTTGCGTTATTGATGATTGGATCGCTAATGTCTGACGTGGGACCGCCGTAGGAACCATCTTCATCTTTTCCATTTCGCTCCAACCTGTTTATGCCCTCTTTCCCAGCCAAGTTTCCAATTGGAGCTAGCAAACCATTCTCTCCAAGTTGATTGCCGACAAGATTGTGGACATCGTCTTGTATTTGGTCGATTTGTGATACGCCAGTGACTTTGGTCTTGTTGAGGGTGTCTGCGATGATCATTAGCTAGAGGCCTCATATCATAAAAGTCTAGGCCGACCAACCCTTTGTCGCATATGATGCCTTGTTGTCTCCTCTTCCGAACCATTTCAAATACTGGTCTTCAATCCATGGCATCCACTTCTCATATTGATCGTTGTATGCCTCCTTTACCCATTCCGTATACGTTTGCTTTTGTCTTTGATCCTCGGAAAGACTGTCGTAAAACTGTTTCTTCTGTTCATCCGTATGCTCAGGAGGAGCAATACCTGTCACAATCTTAAAGGACTCCATGATATTATGTTGAGATGGAAGCAGGTGTGGTTCGTGTGATTTGAGGTCTTGCGTGGCGTAGAAGTGTTGGAACTGTGGTACGATTTGATAGAGGTAACAACAACAGAGGGTGACAATGTGTTTTTTGATGGCGAAAACTATTAAAACTAATTCGAAATATGGTTCAAGATATAACGAGGAATTCATAAAGCCCAAGGAATTAATGACGTAGGTTGTGATATCCTGGTCGCCTTTTGATCCAGTGTGGGAAATCCTGTTTTGCCATCCAGGGATACAGGGTATTAAGTGAATTCGTCAATTAAGATTCCATGGGAACGGCGACAAATCAATCCATGGATCTCCATGAAAGATACCCAAAACCAAGCGACAGCCACACGTAGAGGACATTCATAGTTCGCAAACGAGATCTAGAACATCATGTGGATATGTAGCAGGGAAGATAGGAAGCACTTTGCACTAGCAAAAGCCACCACAGTTCCATCTTCAATGAACGAGCTAGCCAGCAATTCTCACGGGAACTCTCGATATGACATTTCTTATGTGGAGGTCATATGATTGGGTTGGATTTCTTGTTGTTGAAGTGAAAAAACAAGGTTCTTAATTGCGCATCTGTATATGAGCCGAAGAAGTATCTCGAGTAGCTAGGTACTGGTAGGTTGACTCGTAGGTTAGGAAAAGCCCAGAAACAACCCCCATTGATTATGAATGGTTGTACATTGATATCCGCCGACCCAAAACGCCGTGAGGATAAGCCCGTGAACGCCTCGATATTTTCTTATTACCATCCACCTCTGAATCCTCTTCCCCTGCCTCTAAAACCACCTCTTCCACCACCGCGTCCTCCATATCCACCCCCTCTGCCGCCGTATCCGCCATCACCATAACCTCCATCGTACCCTCTCGGCGCCGAATTATGATCCATGTCATCAGCACTAGGTCTTGATCTCTTCATCTCCTTCGGAAATGCGTCGTACGTCTTCCTCATTTGCGCATAACCTAGGTGCATTTTCCCGTAAAAATGGTCCGCCAATCTTCGATCGTTATCCAGCCGACTCAAATAAGCTCCGCAGACATCACAAACTTGTAATTTTTGATGTCCTGAAGGTCCGCTGGTATCTGATAATGCCTTCAGCTCCTTTTCTTTCTCGGCCTTTGTCTGCATAGCCTGTCTTATACGGAAGAACTCTTCATAAGCGCGCGATACCTCCGCTTGCTCTCCTAGAATCTGAATTTCTAACAGACCCGACTCGATTGATTTAGATAGATCAGATATTTGTTTGAGAAGGGCGTTTGTTTGTCGAATTTCATCAGGTGTTTTCTCCAAGCGTCGCTGCGCGACATCTATCCTTCTATTACATTCATCAATGTATTTCTGTAAGTCGCGCATGTAATCGTATTCAAAACCCCATTTCTGTTTTTGAGGAGGTGCTGCAGTTTCGAACTCCGTCTTTAATGGCTCTGAATGGATCTTTGGACATGGTCCTAAGTCTTGTTTCGTATTTGTGAAAAGGTCGTGGGGACAAGTGCCGACTAGGAAAGAACGGCAAATCTTTGGATCTGTAATTGAAAGCTGTGCTGCACGAGAAGATGCTCCAGCGCCCATAAGCTGCTCTGTCAAGAGGGTTGCATTAGTAAAATGATGAAATCTCGATGTTAAAAGACGAATTGAAATTTTATTCAAAGGAGCGCGAGCATTTGAAGAGATGAGATGGGGATTTTGACTTACCAAGGAGCTTTCTCTGTTCTGCGGCCATGTTTCGAGGTATAGGAATGTATTTGTTATGGTTTAACTTTTGGAGATCGATAGAAAAAGGTAGAGACAAGACAAGGCAAGGCTCGGAGCGGCGGGCAAAACGGAACACGCCGTGATAAGGCTGCACATTCGAACTACGAAGTACTTGCTCCAATTCAAAGAGTCCCACTGGTGCATGTGCCTACCTATGCAATGACCCTTCACAACTCAATGAAAGAGCTTCTTGACAACATGGCTTTGAATGCCATGAATCCAATGGATAAACTTTATCACGTTTTCTTCCTTATATTTAGTTTATTATTTACAGGAGTAATCGCATCCTCAGATTATCACGAGCAACTTCTTCTACGACCCCTTCATCCTTCATCGCTACTAGCTTCATTCAACTTCCAAAGCAACACAAGCCTCGAATCATTCGAACAACAGAATTTTCGCTATTTTCCAAGATCATTGGGGCAAATTCTTCAGTATGCCAATACACGAGAATTACATTTGAGGTTTAGCCTTGGTAGATGGGATGCTGAAAACTGGGGTGCAAGGCCATGGGGAGGCACAAGGGAAGGCGGAACAGGTGTAGAGCTTTGGGCTTGGGTAGAAGCAACCACTGATGAGGAGTACGATGCACGTTTTTGGAAAAGAAATTAACTGACATTTTCTTAGGGCTGATGGTCGCTGGTTAACCTTGACCAATGCATTGTCTGGCCTTTTCTGTGCTTCTCTTAACTTTATCGATTCCACAAGAACAACGAGACCTGTCTTATCATTTCAACCAGTTAACGATCACTCAAATTCCACATTAGCGAACCTACACTTACTGCATGGAACTCTGCCTCGAGAAGTTGTCTGCACAGAAAATCTGACGCCTTTCTTAAAACTCCTGCCCTGTAAAGGCAAGGCTGGTATTTCGAGCTTACTCGATGGACATAAGCTATTTGATGCTTCATGGCAGAGCATGTCGATTGATGTGCAACCTATATGCACAAGCGTTTCAAGTGACTGCCAGCTTCAGATTACACAAACTATTGATATGGTATTAGATATTCAAAGATCCAGGCGCCCGAGAGGTTCGTAAATCGCTACCCTATATGATCAACGTGCTAAATTAAATCCAGATAATCCAATTCCACGGCCCGTACCATTTGAAGATTTGAAATGCGATACATCCAAAACATACCATGCCGACGATACTTGCTTCCCTCTAGATAATGCCGCTGAAGAGGAGGATTGGAGTTTATCACAAATTTTTGGTCATTCGATGAAGGGTTCTTGTCCATTAGCCGATAATATTGAAGACTCCGTTTGCATAAATGTTCCTCATGCCCGCAATGTCTTCACCTCTGGAGGAGCAGTTGAGCACAAAGACCCCTCTGGATACAGCCGATGTTTTCGAATACAACAAGATAGCGACTTTGAGATGGTATTACCTCGACAAGATATACACGAGAGAGCCCCATTGGCGCAACCCCTACTATATGCCGAACGCTCATTTATTGGATATGGTCAGGAACGAGGTGGTGTACAGGCCATACTTACAAATCCTTCGCCAACAGATGCAGTTGATTTTGTATATATGGAGTCGCTCCCTTGGTTTATGAAGGTTTATCTCCATACTTTAAAGGCCGATACTAACGGCTTGTACGGAGATGTCATACAAGAGATGTTCTATCGTCCAGCCCTAGATCGCAAAAGAGGGACTCAATTAGAAGTGCGGATGCGCATTCCAGCGGATTCTACAGTTATTTTGACCTATGACTTTGAAAAGGCCATCCTTCGATATACAGAGTATCCTCCTGACGCTAATCGTGGGTTTGATGTCGCTCCAGCCGTTATCACCATTGGAAATGTTAGCATTCGAACTACGAGTCTGTTGCTTCCACTTCCAACCCCGGATTTCAGCATGCCTTACAATGTCATTATTCTTACCAGTACTGTAATGGCCTTGGCATTTGGAAGTGTTTTCAATCTTCTAGTCAGAAGATTCGTTGCTGCCGATGAAGCTGAAAATTGGGACATCAAGGCTGCTAGGATGCGTGTTTTAATGGTTGTGCAAAAGATACTGGCTCGGATAACAGGAAAAGCGAAGTTTGGCAAGGAAGAATAGGACATGATACCCACCACAAAACATGTATAAAAATTAATTGATTGTTTTGGAGAAAAACACTGCAAAGGATAAATATCTTGAGTCTGAAGAATTCACAACTGTATTTAGTGGGCCATTACTCTTCCCCCCAAGATTCTTCGCCATGTCAAGACTTTCTTTCGTCAAAGCCAACACTTATTGGGATGCAGGTCTTTTCATCCCCAATTGTACTTAATTTTTGGGGTTCTCGCCACTTATTAATCTTACTTTGACCACACCATATGGACTTGAATTTGATTCATGTCTC